AATTTTTTTTTTATCTGTAACATTTTTAATCTGCCTTTGGTTGAATCTGCCGATCTAGAACCTCAGCTACAAACAGCAGAGGCTATGGCTATGAATGAACGGACTTTTATGTCTGTCCCCGATCCTGTTCACCTGCCTCACCTGGCTTAGGAAATAAACTCATCAGGTGCAGTTCATACTTCTTAGCCACGGGAGAGGTAACTCTCCTCCGAAAGGCCATCAGAGTCCTTCTGAACACAGGCTCCCCTAGCCAGGCCTCCCACTACCAGATCAGCCTCCTTGCAAGTACTTCATTGTCAATAATGTGGCTTGCACCCCACCAATTCAGTGCCACTGAAAGTCTTCAGGTAACGATGGGCCAACAATCTTAAAGAAATGAAAGGCTCCGCCATGGACCAATGGGTCATCGAAGAAATAAAACACTGTGTCTGATTGATATTAATGTATTGATAACCATGAGCCCAGGAAACAAAAGATCTTCTCCCTCTCCCTCCCTGCTTCCCTCCCTCCCCGCTTCCCTCCCTCCCCTAGAGCCTCATCCATCCTGGTGAATCTCAGGGACCCTGGAAATATCTTCATCACTTGGGGAAGAGTTGAGCTCATCTACCCTGTAGAATCCCCATCTACCGGCCTCAAAGGGACCAGCTCACACAAACACCCTTCTTTCCCTTAGCCTTTTTTGAGCCTCAACCTTGGCAAGGTGATGTATTTTGAACCAGAAGTTGGCACATCCACTAGGTAATTAGTGTTTATCTCCCTTGTTTGTGTGGCTGAACAACAGCTCATTTTCAAACTTTAATAGTCAATACTCAGAAAGACAAAACTGCCTTAGTCGCTCTTGGGGGATGCCTTGAAGATGTGATGAGAAAACAGATGAGAAGAGGACTTCAGAAAGAAACCTGGTATGCCCACAGTCCCTGATCAGGCCAGTCCTACAGCTGGAGTCCCAACGGCAGGGCCCACAATATTGTGGCATGTGCTGGTGGGACGAGGGGCAAGTCCTTCTCCACTCTTGCACAGGCTGGGGGCGGGGGGGGGTTATCCTCCACCGTTATGCATCCTAGACCATCGTGTCCAGGACAAAAGGGTCTGCTTAGCTAATGGTGAGGGGTTGAGGGAAGGACGCCGGCCCCCTTTATGAAAGGAAAGAGCTGGCTGGGCAACCCAGGCCCAGCTGCCTAGGCAGATGAGTGTCTTTGTGTGCATTAACTATGGTGAAATGCTGCCACCTGATGGTCTGTTCTAGAACTCCAGAAAGCTGGGTCCAGGAGGTCTAGAGCTAAGAAATGGATTCCTCTTCAACAGACGCTAGAATAAAAGAGCCAGATGGAGTAGTAACGCTGGCCTGTAATCCTGACATGTGACAGGAAGATCAAGAGTTCAAGGTCATTCTTGGCTACAAGGTGTGTTTGGGACCATATTGGGCTACAAGAGCGTCTCCAAAAAATAAAAAGTGTTATGAAAGAAGAGAGTGTATTAAAAAAAATGTATTATTTTTTGGTAGACTCAAGCTTCTTTCCAGGCTGCCATTATTCACTGTTGCTGCTTCCATGATTATAATAAAGTTTCAATCAATCTCTCAATTACTGATTACTTGCAAATATGACTGATATATGCAACCAGGGTTTTGGAAATCGTTGTCATATCTTCAAAAGTTCTTCCAATGATGTCGGTGTAGGTGGTACAACTTGATGAAGGCTGTGCAGTTGGTATATGGACCAGCCAGGACCCCAGTCCAGGCCGAATGGCTCCTCACATGCGGAGAAGCCCCAGAACGTCACTGTGCATCTTCCTAGGTCCCCTTTGCATCTAATACCCTCCTCTCCCACTGCCTCTGCTCAGACTGTTTCTGAGGCCCCACGCATGCCTGTGTGTGAGGATCAGTGTTCCAGGACACAGTGGCATTGTCCCTAGAGTCCTGGGGGCTCAGGGAAGAGCTCAAAGCTTGTAGGGCCTCATCCTTCTCTTTCAAATGGAAAGGCCTCTCCTGAGTCGAGTACTTGAGGCCTGTGGCCCTGAGAGAGGAAAGAAGAGACTATTGGTCTGGAGAAAGAGAGTCCTGAGGATGGGATTCTCCATCCCAGTGCTTGCCTGCGACAAAGCGCATTGTCCGGTCCCTTCTGAGCCTCTTCGAGGTGACAACTGGCCATGGATCCCATCAATGATCCAGTGGAAACACTGGCAAAGGCTGGACCCAGGAAGGGTAGATGGCTTGCCCAGTTTCAGAGAGGATGACAGGGCCAGGATGAGCAGTCACATGTCCCCACTGCCCAGCCAGAGCCTCCTACCATACCTGGTGCAGCCCCCATCTTTCCTGTCTGCTAATAGGCCCCCTGTGTCACCCAGAACTGCCTGCAATCCAGAGCTTTGCTGGGTCAGCGATGAACCTGAAGTGACAAAAGTCCCTGCTTCTGTCCTCTCTCCCCCCTACTGGGAGAGACACTTCCCCTGTGTCCTGGGACCTGTGGCCAGTCTGTTATTTTCTCTCAGAGGGAGGTGGCCTGGAAGCTGGGAAGACAGGGTTCCCTGGATACTTCATAGTCACAGTACCAGTTTCTAGGGCCAGCACTGTTCCCAGACTCTGGGCCACTCTGTGTCCTTCACTGCATCTCAGTTCCAAAGCACAAGTCCTACAAAAGGTCAGTGGATTTCATAGCATTAAGGACCCAACTGCTAGGCACTCCTTGGGGACCCTTATTTAGAAAACTCAGCAGTAAGATTAGGACTTAGGGAGCATCAGCCAAGTACAGGGAGCTCTGTCTTCTGAGCTCTCATGGGAGACTTCGGGGTCACTCCGAGAGGGTCACAGCATCGATGGCAGGTCCCTTAGCAGTGCTGAGCTCTCCACACAGACCTGTGACCCCTGTCTCTCCTGAGCCTTTTGAGACCCGCCCCCTTCTCCCTTATCCTCTCTCCTTTCTAGGCCCCCATTCTTCTGGTTCCCAAGGGTCCTTCTTGGGAGGCCTGGCTGTTGAGATCTGAAAGCTCCCCTGGACCCCATAGGCAGAGGGACAGGGAAGGAGGAGGCGTGTTGCTGCTCCGGTTGATTTAGGTGCTTTTCAGAGTGTGTGGTGTGTGGTGTGGGGACTTTTTTGACAGCCTGGAATAGGAGGAAGAGTAAAAACCACAACAGCAGACACATATGATGTCTTGGCTCCACAAGGGAAAAGCATGTCAAGTTTGTACTCTCTCTGTTACATGACAGTTTTGTCTGGTTTGATCACCTCTTTCAGGAAGTCCTCTCTGACTGTCCCTTAGGCCTCTCTGGGGTTCCAGGTATTTGGATGGTGTCAACTCCTTCCTCTGTACCCCAAGCTCAGAACAGTGCTGTCTTTGGGAAGTGGCCTCTGTCATGGCCTTCACCATCCAAGGTCCCTACATGGAGAATGTCCTTGGGCCCTGCCTCTGGTTCATCTCTACAACAAGGCTTAAGCCACAAGCTCAAAGCACCTATGGAAGACCTTAAGGTGGTAGTTCTCAACCTGTGGGTCATGACCTCTCTGGAGGTCAAAAGACCCTGTCACAGGGGTCACAGATCAGATATCCTGTACATCAGATATTTACATTATAATTCATAAGAGGAGCAAAATTACAACTATGAGGTAACAATGAAAATAATTTTATGGTCAGGGCTTACCACAACATGAGGATCATTAAAGGGTCATGGCATTAAGAAAGTGGAGACACTGCTCTAGGGTATGCTGGCCAGAGGCTCTGAGCGCTCACAGGCGCTCTCAGGGAACTCAGAGCTTCTTAGGCCTCCACCTTTTGTGTTCAGTGTTCCTGAAAGCATGTTCACAAAGCTCCAGGTTTCTGCTCCTCAGAGACACAGACTAGACCCAAGAGCGTGTGGCGCACGCTTTTAATCCCAGCACTCAGAGGCAGGCAGATCTGAGTTCCAGGCCAGCCTGGTCTACAGAGTGAGTTCCAGGACAGCCAGGGCTACACAGAATACCAAAGAATTGAGAGGGAGGATAACACCATCTCCCTTCGACTCATTACCAGAGAAGTAAAGAGATAAATGGTTTATTCAGGGAGGGGGAAGCCCAAGCCAAAAGTAGCCCTCCCCACCCCTGCAAGCTGACCCATGAGGCCCCATCAGCCCAGAGTGGGAGACAAGCTCCGGGCACCCAGGGCTGATCCTGATTTGTTCCTCTCAAAGCCCAGTGACATGTGACACGGATGGAAGCTGACCCTCCTGATGTGGGTGGTACCCCTCGAGTGACAACCCTCTTCCCAGCCCTCCTGCTGTCCATTGCTATGAAGAGCACCAAATTCCCTATCGGTGAGAGTCTACGGGTAATTGTCTGTGAGTGGGTTGTGGCACTCAGGGGAACTGCTCTTCCCAGCAACAGCAGAGAAAATGTCCAGGCTACAATCCTCTTGCCAGACAGGAGAGCCCATTCTCTGGCTTCGTAGCCTCAAAGTGGACATGGCAGAGCCTCACCACTGGACCAGGAGAAGGCCAAGATGCCGAGAGCATGTCCTAAGGCATGACCGGGGCCAGCCATACTGTGATAAAGGGGATTCGAGAGGACACACAAGCCCCGTCTCCTCCTCATGGGCTCAAGCTGCTGATTAAAAAATAGTGAGCCCGAGGGATGGGAGCAGAGAGGTTGCCTTAACTGAGCACCTAGTGTCCACAGAGGATGGGAAATGGTCACCAAGCCTGGACATGGCAGAGCCTGGGCAGGCAGGTAGACAGACGGGCACTGTGTGTGCCTGGTGACCAGCCTTGGGGGAGGCTTATGAGAAGGGAGCCCAGGTTTCTCTCACCCCTGTGGTATGTAACTTGGCCTCACACATAGAAATCACAGTGACTATACGTCACCAAGCAGAAAAGGAGCCCTTAGGGGAGCAGAGGAAGCTAGGATGCCCCGGCCGGGCTGTCAGAGGCTGTGGGAGGGCAGAGTGGGGCCGGGCTCCTGCCCATGCGAAAGCGCTGCAGCTTGGAAAGCAGGGATGACAGGAGGGTCGGGTGGCGGAGCTCCGTGCTAGACTCAGGGAGCCTCGTTGGACCCGAGGCCGCTGCCTTTGTTGACGTAGAATGGCCGGTAGTGAGACTGTGGGGAAAACGGGAGTGATTAGGGTAGCCAGGTGGCAGCAGAACCCCGGGGCCAGCCCACCCATTCTAGAGGTCCCTGAAGCAGCATTGTGCCAGACCTACAGCCCACAGCACCCTGTGGTCTGACCTGCAAGATCTACCTATCTTGCTACCAGGAGGTGGCCTGGGAGACCATAAGAACTTCTGGATCCACATTCTAGCTAGAGTCCATTCCTGTCACTTAGTCTATGAGCTTGGATGTCATCCCCCACCCCAACATCCTCCTAGTGCCACCGGAGCCACCACGTGCTTCGCATTTTGTGTTCGACAGAACTGCACAGCACTGTGCCAAGGGCTTTCCATCGACAGACTCAATTAGGTTTTACAACTGTCCAATTAAATAGGCTACTATGATCACAGCTACTTTATAAGTAAGCAAACCAAGGCACAGAGAGGCCAGGCAACTTGCCCAAGTCACCAGCTAGTAAACAGGGGATGAGAGACTCAGAGGCTGGACTCCAAAACCCCCTCACTCCCTGCTCCACCCCATTTCTTGTGTCCCAAGCATTTCACGTGTCAGCTTAGGTTCTCTCTGTGTGATTCTCCCTGACAGAAGGGTACAGAATGAACATACCACTGTCCCGGCCCATTATGCTCACCACCATCCATAATCGTGGAGGACCATCCTCTCTGGCCAGAGCCAGGAACAGCTTTCCCAACCTCCTCTGTGAACCATGTCACATGACAATCTCAGGGAGATCAGCCCTCTTCCTCCCTTCCCTCTAATCCCTGCCTCGGGGCTCTGAGAAGTCAGTCTGGAATGGAAGTCCCTGGCCACTAAGAGCACCTCTGGCCTCAGGAGGGTCTCGGGAATCAGACCTGACCCTAAGTGGGTCAGACATAAAGCTGCTCTGTGCCTCCTAGAAGCCCCTGTGACTTGCACAGTAAGAACGAGTCCTCAGCAAGGCCAGAGCAAGAGGTTCTTAAGCCCAGACCTGGGCTAACCCATCAATTCACAGAGGAAGAAACCAGGGCCCAAAAAGGAAAGCAGAGCATGAACAAAGTCATGGGAACGCTCTAGCCCAGCAGGGCCCAGAGCCAGTCTCTAGCCCTTGGGTCCATTTCAGGACCCCAGAGCAGTCACAGGATATAGAGAATGGACTTTCCTTTTAGGAAGGCTGGGTCAGTCGCATATGGATTGCAGGCCAATGGACAGTGCTGCTGTCTGTGTAATGTTAGCAGTGGGTGAGCAGGGTGCTCCTTTCCATCCTTCCCTAATTAGGGTCACGGAGTATGAGAGTTAAAAGGACTGTGAATTCACCCAGCCTGTGGAATTCATGTTAGAAGTGGGAAAACTGAGGCATGAAAGACCAACTCACACAAGATCACATAGCAAGCTGGTGATGCCTGGCCCAGTTGCCAGGCAGCCTGACTCTCAGGCTGGCCTCTGGGCTCACTATATTTGGCCTCCATCCTCCCAACAATAGCTGCCAGTTGGATACCATAGCCCTGTCCTCCTGGAGCCCTCAGAGGCTGGAAGGCCTTCTCTGTGGGGGATCGGGTCTGGGGGACAGGAAGGTATACAGTAGGGGGAGGAATGACTTTCTCCCATTATCTGTTTTCTACAGTCCTGCTGCTTCAATGCCCGTTGGGCCGAGATCCACATTATATTCACAATCACTTAGCTCCTCTTGCCCACAAATTAAAGAGCTTTTTTTTTTTTTTTTTTTTTTCCAATTAAAAGAGCCCCAGATGCTCTTTGTAGAACAGAGGCAAATCCTGTGCTCTGACCTCAAAGTGCAAAAGCAGAAGCAAGATCTCTGGCCCCCATCTCAGTAAACCCATGTTGCTCTCTACCTGCATGGTACACTAGATATCCCTCTCAAGACCTAGCAAGCCTTGGGAGGGAAGCATTCGGGGAGAGGAAGGCTCCAGAGTGACAGTGTCTGACCACTGCTGTTCCCTGGGTATGATACATCTGGTCTGCAGGGAATTGAAGGCCACTTCATCTCACTACGTATTAGAAGAAGGAAAAGGGTCTTGCAAAGGGTATGTGGTGCCAGCAGGTGGTCTGGCTCCCTTGGCCACACACACAGCCAGTGCCACTTTTTAATAACCACAGCTTAGGGTTATTTGGGAGTAATATGGGAGCGTTCCAGCTCCCCATACACACGATATCACCCCTAATGGCCTCTATGCTCTCAAAGCTGGAAAGTCACCCCGGGAATGGGAACCATCTCCAGGATGCCTGGCCAGTTGACTAAGTATATTGAGATCACCTCTTGGAAACCCAGCCACCACAGACACCCAGTGACTACCTGCAAAGGCAAACAAGGGCTGCCCATGTCACAGGTTCTCAACTAAGGTCAAAGGCAATGTGTGTTTACCCAGGTCGCCTGCCTATACGTCCATTCCTGTCTCTTTGCTACATGTGAGTGGTTGGTCCATTGCTGCCTCCCACACTCCCAAACATGAGCCACAGACCCTGAAAGCCTGCACAGTTATTATCCATCCCTGGACATGCCTGTGCCCGGCTGCCCTCCCAGTATGCCTTACTCACCAGCAGAGTCTGCTTTCCAGATTTCCAAGTCTGAGGCTGGGCCTTGGGAGCCTGGCTCCGGAGGAGGGAAGGATATCCTGGGAAGATAAGATGCTCCAGTTGGGGGGAGCCCTGGCTTGTGGTCAGGGACCCCCACTGTTAGAGCAGCAAAGTGACCCCCAAGCATCATCCAGCCCAAGACCAAGTTCAGCCACCTGCAGAGGTGTGCGGCAGCTGGGGTGGTGCAATTGCCAGCTGGAAATCCTGGGAGGCTAGGCAAAGGAAGGCGAGGCAGACAGAGGGAGGAGGAGCCAGCCAGGTGGATGGGGCCAGAGAGCAGGAGAATGCTGTCTCCCAGTCCATTTCTGCACTATGCTGTTAGGATCGCCACCCACTGGCCCTGAGGGCTTATGGCGCACAGACCTGTCCTTTTGCCAGAGTCCAGGACAGGCCCTGCTACCACTGCCTGGAGGGAGAGACTCCTGGCTCTGCTGCACTATGCTGGGAGGTCAGGGCGATGCTTCTCATTTACTTAGTCCCATTCGTGCCAAGCACCATGAGTGTATGTTTGCGCCTTGCTTGGTTCTCCCGTCTCTTCTAGCTCAACAGTTTGCCCGAGTCGTACGCCAGCAAGCAGCTGTCAGGATTGGAAACCAAGGTTTGCTAGCCTCCAAAATCCATAATCCCATTCCTTCTGCCTGGCTTGTGTTGTCTCACATCTCACTGGCAGCAGACCAGGAACCTGAAGAAGGGCAGCCATTTGCCAGTGTGACCATCAGAGCTGGGACAGCAAGCCCAAGGTCCCAGCAGGTGGCTGTCAGTACTTGGTGAGAAGGTGCTCATACAAGGTGAGGCTACCTGCCTCCCTGCCCTTCTCAGCCCAGAGATGTCTATGCAGAGCTTAACTGTGCAGTGCAATGGAAAGCTTGCTCAGCCACAGGGCAAACCGCAGTGGCTGGGGAGAAACCTCCCGTGAGTTGGAGAATGAAAAGCTGGAGAGGTTAACAGACTGTATTTGACAGCCACCGTCCAGCAAGGCTGTGGCGGCCTGGGGTGGGCCATACCATCCCCAGCACTACCCACAGTGCCAAATGAGAACCCCCACAGGGCTTTTCCTGCATCTAGGGTGGGAGCTGCCTGAGAAACAGAAGATTCTATGGGTCCCGAGCGACGGCAAAGACTGGGAATTGAGACTTGACCGCTCAGTATCCAGAAAGAAAAACCCATTCCAGTTGTAAGAGCTAAGGGTGGGGTCGGGGTGCCCAGGAGACCAGCCTTGGCAGCAGGCAGAAGTCCAGAGAGGGTGAGCTGGGATGGCAGGGGTGGGGGGACATGCATCTCTCTCTGACGAGCTCTGAGAAATCGGGACCAGAGCACCCTAGAAGTGGCAGAGATATCCCACGATGGCTCGCCTGCCCTACTATGGCAGAGGAAGGGAAGGGGTGGGAAACAGGCAGGTACCGGGATTGTTTTTAAACAGCCCACTGCGGTCCAGTGGCTTGGAAAACTCTGCAGTGGCCTGGCCCAAGCTTGTGAACTGATAGGGGCCATTCCCAGTGCCTGCTGGGAGAGAGAGAGGTGTTAGCAGCGAGCGCCTACTCTCCAGGAGGCTGAGGCTCTAACACCTGGGCCATTCTACAACCGTGCTCAGACCTAGCAGCTGGAGCTGGCTTGGCAGTTCCAGTGTCCCCTGGGGAGCTGGTGGAGGGTGTGGGCAAGGGGGGGGGGTCTCAGTACTGCAGGCTATCTTCCTGGCATACAGGGCAACCTGGCTAAGCCATTCCTACTCAGCCTGGTGGTTGCTCTGCTTGAAGGTGAGGTGGACTCACGGGAAGTGAGAAGTCCTTCCAGGAAGGGCCTCAGCAGGAGGCCGAGTCTGAAGGAGAAAGTCTGAACCAGGGCTCAGGGCCACTGCCCTCTGTGTCCAGTGGCCTTCAGGCTAGGCTTGGGCAAGGAGCAGGTAAACCCCTGCTGGAAGCCAGCATGCCAAGGCAAGTCCCAGAGTATCCCAGGCCTGGCCCAGGGTCCCGTAGGCTAGGACTCCCTATTCATTACCTTCTGCATCTTGCTAGTAGCCCAAGCATCCTGTCCTTGACACAGGTTGTGCCCTAGCCTAGACTGGACCACGAGGTGATAAAGCCACGTCATAGGCCACTGCTTGCTGTGGAGTATGATTTGTTTTGGTTTGGTTTGGTTTGGTTTGGTTCAGTGGCGGTGTGCCACAGATAGCTCCTTCTCTTCTCCATTCCAAGGGACCAGCCTCTGATCCTCAGGACAGGTGTTTTGGGTATAGGAAGAGGTGAGATCACTCCTCATCAGAGCTGCCTCTATGGCCAAGAAGGAGAGATGGGAGGGCCCTGGGCCTACTTACTATACCCTGGACTCTGCTTCAAGCCTATAGCCTCAGGATGATTCCAACCCCAGGGGAGAAGCGGTATAGACCATTCAACATGTTCAAGACCTCCAGGAATACAGTAGGTAGAAGAGGGACACGTATAGAAAAAGGTCAGACCTGAGAAGCCTGATCCCACTTCCTCAAAGGGACTGCTGCAAGATGACTCTATAGGAAGTTGGGGGCTGCTACATGACCTGGGGTCTAGTCAACTGCCGGGAGTCACTGGGTAAACAGAGTTAAATCAACTCCATAGCACAGAGGCTGGGCAGGTAACCCAGAAGCAGCATCTGGGCCGGCGGGTAGGGATGCAGAGAGTGTGTACCTCTCCAGCCCTTGAAACCTGTGGTCCCAGACCCTTTTTAAGAGCCAGTATGTATGTCACACCCAAGAAACACTGCCATAGCCCAGCACCCTCCCCTCCTTTGGCCGGGCTTCCTGGGCTGGGGCCTGCCCCTCCAGAAGGCAAGGAAGGAACTAGTCAGAGAGGGAACAGAGACTCAAGCAGGGCAACCTCCAGGCAAGCAAGGGGCAGGGAGTGAGCTCACCTTTCAGGGAGAAGGAGGAATTGCCTTGCGCAATGGGCAGGTCCTCAGAGTTCTGAAGAGTGGATGAGTACTCCCAGACCCTGGAGGTATAGTTACCTGGCAGAACAAAGAAGGCATGTCAGACCCAGGTAGGCTGGCATGGAAACAGAAGGGCAGGACCAGGACATAATCAGTCCCTTGACTCTTGGTCCCTTTGCTACCTCTGAGGCCACTATTCCTGTGTCACACTCCCCAGGCTTTCCCTGCTACGGAAGGTGTAGAAAGGATAGGTGTGCTCCTGCAGGCCACTGTCCTCAGAAGAAGAAGGGAATTTGTACCTTTTCATGTGTATCATGTGATGCGGAGTGGCCTGCGCTACAGCACACATGGAGAGATCAAGAGCATACCTTCGTGTTATTTCTCTCCACCCACCTAAACATGGGGTTCCAAGGATAAAACTCAGGTCACCAGGCTTACACAGCAAAGTGCCTTTACCCACTAAGCCGTCTTGTTAGCTCCTGTCCTCACAATGAGCTGCTCTCCCATTCCCACACACTTCCTGGCATTCCAGCCAAGCTGTGATCTCACTTTCTCCAACACTGGCTTCTTCCTTGCCTCTAACATTGGGTCCAGAATGAGCCTTTACTTGAGATAGGCCCTTGCTCCCCACCCTCAGCCAATCCACATAGCAGGTCTCCATGTCACCTCTCCCAGTTCCGCCTCTACCTGCTCCCTCCCAACACCCTGAGCTTCCTGGGCCCTGGGTTGCAGCTGGCTGTATAACTGTCCATCTCCTGTAGTGCTAGGGACATGTTTGTTTGGCCTAGCATCAAAATTGATGCCTTCCAGGGCCTTATTTCTAGAAGATACTCATTGCATGTTTGATGGGTAAATGCGCTAACAAAAGAGCAAACAAATACCAATGCATCCTATCACTTGGGGACAGCAACAGTTGACAGAATGCCTGGCGTTGTTCTATTCGTGGGGGAGAACAGGCTAACAGACAGCTATGTACAAGGGGGTTTCTGTGGTGTGGAAGAAGAGGAAATGGAGAGAAATAGCAGGGGCATCAAGATGACATTGGAGTCCCCACTAATGGGGCACTGTCCTCCAGTTCTTCCTCAGCAGCAGGGAGCCTTGGGTGCCACCTAAGTGAAGCTCCCCTGCAGCAGTGCCCACACTAGCCCATGTGTTCCTCCTGTCCCTGAAGGATGAGTTGAACAAAATGGGGCAAGCAGCCAAGCTGAAGTTGGATTTGGGGGCCTTTCTCAGCAAGTATCAGGACAAAAGGACGCACCTCTGCAGACTTCTGTACCGGCCAGGAAGCGGTTAAGATGAACTGTCTCGGTGCTGTTCTGTCCTATGGCTATCTGCTGGCGGGGGCTAGCCAGTGTATGGGCAGGTGCGGGTACATATGTACTCATGTCTGTGGAGGCTGGAGGTGGACATCAGGTGCCTTTAGTCATGTTTCCACATCGTCTTGGGGACGAGGTCTTTTCTGAACCTGGAGCTTGCTGATTTAGCTAGGCTCACTAGTCAGTATGACCACAGGATCCCCCTGGCTCCATTTCCCTAGCCCTGAGATCACAGGCACACAGAGCCTGTAACGAGTGGTGGTCAAACTCAGGTTCCTGTGTTTGTGTGGCAAATACTTTAACAACTGAGCTAGCTTCTCAGCACTCAGTGAATCTCAATGGCCAGTAGAGATGCCGGGCACTGCCCTCTCCACCCGGTGGCAGTGACCTTCCAGTTTCCAGGAGTCTAGTCTTCATTGCAGTCTTCTTAGGGATGTATCTTTGTTGGGGATGCGTCATGGAACTGGCTCAGTCCTCCCTTTACATGGCAGGTAGTACCAAGAGCTCCAGCACAAAAGCAGGGCCCCCAAAACAGAGGCTTCGTGAGCAAATTATCCTGACCTGGAGCACAGTGTTGCCCTTAGCACAAGGAGCAGGAGATCCTGTATTTGAAAGCTCCCCTGGGAAAGGCACATCCTCATGCCCCTCCCCAATCCCCTCAGTACTGTGTAAGGTGGTGGTGCCTCACAGGTACACCCATGTCAGGTCATGCCTTTGTTTCCTTTTGCATCTGAGAGAGATCATTTTAGCCACTGAAGGGCTAGTACAAAAGTCAGCTCAGGTCTGTGGGCCTTCAGTCCTGACGCTTGCTAGGAGAGGTCACCACAGCTAACCTCAGGGTAGACACTCACCCCATTTCCCCCAACTCGTCTTTCAGGGATAAAAAGAGAAAATGCACTGGGGATTTTTAAAGATGCCGAGTTTCAGTAGCTTCTCCCTGAGCCTAACCAATGACATCATGCATTTCTGCGTAAGCCAGTAGAAACATTCTCTCTCTCTCATATGTGAGTCTGTCTGCCGTCTGTCTCTATCTCTCTTCTCTGTGTGTCTCTCAGCTCAGGAGGACCCATCCTGTCCTCTCCCCTGCCCCCCACGCACACACATATACTTCCTACATTCATCTTGCACTGGATAGTCAAGACATTCAATCCATGGCTCAGCCCTGGCACCATCATCCCATATTCCCTCCTGCACACCTACACGGGCTCCTGCCCACTGGAAGCTGAGCCCCCTCCTACCTTTTGTTCCATACAGATTGTTGAAATTCTTCTGGTTGGTCTCCTTGGAGAGGCGGCTGGGCGATGATGGCTGGTAGGACGTCCGGCCCCCTCCTGCGGGACAGAAACACCATTGCTGCAGAAACATGGGCCTGACTCAGTTTGGGGCCCATGGCCTCTGACTTGTTGAGGGGATCTTAGACAGGACCCCAAACATCTCCCTCTCTTTTATTAGGAACAGTTCCTGGATCTAGCCTCAGGCAGTCACAAAACTCATCACCTGAATGGGGATCCTTGGGAAGCAGAGGGGACACTACTGGCCGTTGTCCCCAGAGCACTAAAATCCTGGGTGCTTTTTTGGGGGGGAGGGGTATGCTAAGAAGCTGACAAGCCAACACTTCTCTCCTGAGCCAGTGCCTGTCTGAACTGGACAGCAGAGGCTGGGATCTGGGGTAGTAGGAGGAGAGGCATGATGGGGAGAGGGGGTTGGGTCATCACCCAGTGAGGACCTAGCCTCCTACAAAAGGCTAATGAACCAGCTTGGAACTTGTCCAGGGATCAACACAACTTGTGGCTCCTCACTGCCCTCCTGCATTGTGCTCCCACACAGCCCTTTGTCGGGGTCCTTCTGTTGTCTCTACCCTCCTGCCTAGATACCATATATTCCACCCACTGCCAGCTTACCCAGCCCAGCACTGCCCATCCAGCCTTTTCCCATCACAGGCCTGCTCTCCATACTGGGCAGAGAATCCCTCCTTCCTGAGCCTGGGAACTAACTTCTCCAAGGGAGGGCACAGCCACTACCTAATCCCACTGACTCCAAGCTTTCAAGCCGGTAATCTTTGGTGGCCCTATCTCTCTGATCCTCTTGACATCTCGGCAGCCCCTCCCATGCCTTTCCTCTAACCCTGAGCCTGGGAGCTGCAGGTGTCCTACCCACCCCATCCCCCGCAGGGCAGGGACACCAGAGGAACCTGTTTCTTCCACCTACAGATGTCACAACTGACGCACAGGACCAGTGTCAGAGCCAGAAAAGCTCCTATCCCAGGAGTCTCACAGACTGTCTACACAGAGAGGGACACAGGCCAAAGGGGACAGTGATCAGCCTCAGGCTGGTTCAGCCCTGGCACTCTTGGGGAGCTGCTGTGGCAGGTTATAGTCCCCACACCTGGTGGCCAGCAGTGGGACCACTCTGTCCCTGGGTCTCCCTTATGCAGGGAGAATCAAGCAGAAGCCAGTGAGGTCAGGACCACCCCATCATTGCGGGCTCTGAGTACCCCATCAGGCTATTCCTTGAGCCAGGGTAGAGCCAGAGAGATCAGGCTGGAGCGAGTCCAACCGGAGCTCTTAAGAAAAAAGGTGCTGGGTATCTGGCCAGCGCAGTTTGTCCTTTCACAGAACTGGCTAAGAACAGAGCTCTGGGCAGAGAAGGCACAGGACTGATGTCAGATGTGGTTCACCCCACGAGTGCCAGGGGGAAATCTTGGCACCCCTCTGCTGCCTAGAACCTTCCAGAAAGTCTGGGTGTTGGTGTAAAAGGTGGGGTGGGGAACTTCCTGTCTGATGAGCTCACTTCTCCCAATCCCTAGCCCTGTTCACTGCAGATTTATCTGTCTGTCTCAGGGCCTCTGGCTTCTCTCTCCAGCTAAGTGCCTCCCCAGATCGACACCCTGCCACTCCAACCTCCACTCTTTGGCATCCCCATTCCTCTCTAGGCTTCCACATGTACCTGCACACGCCCTCTACCCTGAGCCTGTGGCCTGGGACACCCACCCTTATGTAACAAGCCCTGCTGTGGTTTGTTGCTGGCCTCTAAGAATGTTCCAGACTATCCTGAGACAAGGACAGGCAGGCCCTGGCCTAGAGTCCACCGGGCTGTCTCCCTGGAGGGTAGGCCAAGAAGGCAGGTGACTCGGAGGAGCAGACTGGCCCGGGAGGCAACGGCTCCGCCCAGGGCTTACTGCGTCGGACTGGGCGGAAGCGCTACAGTCTGGAAGGTACTCTGAAGGACACAGGCTACAGGGGGAGTGACACACTGCTTCAGGGGACCAGTGCATCTAAGGAGCAAGAGTGCTGGGTAACCTGCGACCAAACCAGGACACGTGCCACCGGTGGGTGTACGGAAGCATCCATCACTAGCACTCGGGGACAAGATGCAGGCGCCAGACACACTGAGTTATGGTCCCTCTCCCCAGGAAGAACCTATCTGAGAGTGGCCTTGACCTCTACCATTGCTAGCATACTCTCCCTCACCCTTGGGTGTGAGGTACATGGAGTATCTCTTCATGGTGTCAGGCGTGCTCCACTCATTCCCGTAGCTGCTTGGGTAGCTGTTCATGTAACGATGGTCACCACCTGGAAGAGAGGGAGAGTCAGCAGAGAGACAGGTGGGGAAGAGGAGCCTCCACAGAGAGAGCCAAACCCTCCCAGCCTAGAGAACATGCCGACACTGGGTCCACACCTACTCTCCTCCTCCGGTAAACCTCTTTCCCATCACACTGACTCCTTGCAAAGGCATTTGTGTCTATGGCAAGGGAATTTTGATACCCATTTCTTGTCTGATCTGGATATCAACTCTTGGGCAGGTGTGAACATCTCCGTGTGACATAGAAGGAAACCAAGGCTCCAGAGGGGAGGGTAGTGATCTGCCCCTGGCAATTTGACAATTGAGACAGAGCTGGAATTTGATACCTGACACCGCTTCAGTCCCAGCCACTGCTGGCCGGCATCAGGTGGTGGACTGAGGTTCTCTCTTGGCCTCTGTGGTCCAGAGATCTGGCTAGCTGTGTAGGGTAAGGTGCACACAGCTGCAGCCTCTCACCCTCTGAACCTGCTGCCCTCCACACCTCTCTCATCCCTTACTACTTTCTGACTGCTATTTCCATCCTTCTCACTCTCTCTCAGGTAAAGAGAAAACAGACCAGAGCTATCCTTCATCATCTTCATCTTCATCAGCATCTAGAGGGATCCTAGCACACAGGAGACTAAAAGTGTTGGCCCAGCCCTGGTCCCACTAGACCAAGGATCTCTGGAGGTGGCCTGATGCCTCTGAGCCCTGGGTCTGGGAGGGAGGAATGCACCCCCAGCCTGGTAGGCAAGCCATTGTCAGGGAGCAGCAAATGGTCACTCCAAGGGCTGACTCACATGCTACCCATCCTCTATGTCCTGCAGCAGACACCACCTAGCCACTAGGCAACGGTGACAAAAACATGACAGAGGCAAAGGCTGTTTCCCCTGGGCCCGAAGCATGGGTGCAGGACAGCCGAATCAGCACACCCAGCCTTGCTCCTGGCCACCATCTCACTCCGCATCTCGCTTTGGATGCCAGGCCACACCTGCACAGAGACTGTGGCAGGAATCATTGTGACCTAGAAATGGCACAATGAGCCACCAGGAGGCTGGGTGGTTCCTACAAGGTTCATAGGCCACCCTTACCCTAGTTAGGACTATCCTCTTACACCTGCCCAAACCATACCCAGGGACTTCCCTGCAGGGTATATATCACAGAGACTATGACAGTCCTTCCTCAAATCACTGATGACACGGTCAGCAGTGATGCTGTGGGGGTCCCATTTACGACGCCATAGCACCCAGACTAGCAGAGTGCTAACTCAAACAGTACCCCGTGGCTACCCATCAGCTGGGGGGGGGTGCTTTTGAAAGGCTGCTTCTCAAGATGCAACACCCCGTACATGGAAAGGCCACGGAAGGAAAGAACTCAGCATAATGTCCATGACCAGGGGGTCCTCAATCACACCAGCTGTCACTATCCCCATTAAGATCATGGCTATTGTCATTAGGAAAAGGCTGTCAGGATCTGAGTGCCATTCTAAGCCAAATTATTGTCTTGCTAAAATGGCTTATCTGTCCTTAGGTGTGATTGACTGCCCCCCGTATTTCACAAGGACACTGTGTGGTCTCATGCACGGGCAGTCCCCTGCACACTCATAGCCTCTCTCCTCTGGGAACAGTGAGTGACATGCTTTACCTGGAGACCAGACAGAACCATTCCCATTGGTGCTGATGGCAATGAGGCCAAATCAGCCTGCCTTTAAAGATGTGCACTGGGCCTGAGCCACTGGGGTGTGGCCTTGGAGACAGTACCCTGGCTTCAGGCCCTAAAGGTTTGGAATTGGGTGGAATAGAGATTAACAGGGCAGTTCCTCAGGTTAGGAGGCTTTCTGTGAGAGAATGCAGGTGACCTCTACAAGGGAAAGCGTGACTCAGAGAAGGGCTGATTTCAGGGCAGGTGACTCAGGGAGAGACGCCATGTCCCATCACCTCCAACCCACCACCAGGCCAATTTCAGCCTGTGGGCTCAATATTACTCAGCACAGCCATGGTGACGGGCCTCCTTCCAAGCCCAGATATAATTCTAGTTTACTTCTGAAGCCTGCAACTCATCTGTTCGAAGTCTGGCCCATTGAAGAGCCGCAGTATGCAGCTGCTAGATTAGAGCTGACAGTCAGGTGGAGATCTGAATGAAACCAGTCCTGGGCTTTAATCAATGACCCAGAGAGAAGGCACCTGTAAAGCAGTTCCCAGTATCTCTCTTCTCTAGAGGCCCCTTGTAATAGCTGCCAGTTCAATAGGGGTGCTAGACACTAGAGTCTGAACATGCTCCAGTGGATGAGTAAATGGAGACCATGAGGAGCCAGCGAGCCAGGATCTTCTCTATTTCAAGGCAGCAGGGGCTGACTGAGAAATACTCATATCCTTGGCCCTGAGAACAAGGGAGGACTTACCATTCTCCATATGGCTCCTCTCAATGAAGTTGCGACTCAGATCGGCCTTGCACATCTTCTCCACATGGCGCATGCACACATTGAGCAGGTCATCCTTGAAGTTGCCAAGTGACTGTCCCAGGCCCTCTCCCTCCAGCAGGACATGGTAGGTGGGCAGAGGTGGAGGGAGAGAGTAGTTGCTCATCAGCGCACCAAATTCCTACGAAGAAAGAAAAGCAGTCAGTGACTTTGTCAGTCTTTGAGAGTTACAGTGACCTTGGTCTGCAAGAGAGCTCTCAATTTAGCTGGCGACTCCATGCTGAGAGCCAGAAGAGCTGGGTTCTAGGATCAGCTGAATAGCTAGCCTTCCTTTTCCTCACTGGACAGATGAGCTGACTAAAATCAGTCTTGACTGAATTAACAGTCAGATGACCGACTCTATGGTTCCCACCACTAATGTGTACATAACATACATACATACATACATACATACATACATATATACATACATACATACATATATACATACATGGGAAGTTGTAAAAGTGACACAGGCTGTTTAGACTTTAGGGGAAAGGATAAAAAGGTGCATGAAAATACTGGAACAGTGTGGATATTTCCACACTCAAGCCTTACTCAAGACTGCCCCAATAATTCTGTGGTTCTCAAACATCCCTTCTCCCTCACCGGAGCATCCCTCCTCCTTCTCAAGCCCTAAGCAGCCTGCAAGACCCTATCCAAACTCCTCCTCCTCCTCCACTAAGTTGTCCTTAGATTGCTCCAGCCCTCCAGCCCTTCTCTGAATTTCCATAGGCACTTATCTCCTGAGCCACATGCTTTATCATTTAATTACACACTTTTCCATATTGTTCTCTAATTGTACACGTCTTATCTTCCCAGCTGGATTGCAGCTGCTTGGGGGCAGAAACCATGTCTTACGCTTCTCTATTCACCGTAGCACCGGATAGAGTCCTGCATGCCTAGGAGTACCAAAACATTCTAGCAGACAGAAAGATGGACGCATGAATACACAAACCGACTAGAGCAGTGATAACAAATATGCAACACTCTTATGCCATTCCTTCCTTTCCCAAGGCAGGCATTACTAATTAATCACAGAACTCTTTCTTATCGAGCCTAGAGCACTGCTGGTGCATAGCAATTGAACTTGGTACAAGGTGACATTTGTGTGTCTTCCTTAGAGTAGAGAGAGTAGATTGGCTAGAAAATGAAATAGATGGAAAGGCTGGTAGTGAATGGATGGATAAATAGTGGGTGGGTGTGTAGCAAGTAAGTGGATAGATGGTTGGTTGGTAGTGAGTGGATGGGTAGATAGGTAATAAATGGATAGGTAGGTAGACTGGCATGCTCTGCAAGGGTTACAGGTGAATGGATAGGTGAGTGGATGGATGGATGGATGGATGGATGGATGGATGGATGGATGGATGGATACCAGGAGGATGGACAGTGAATGTGTGGGTAATGGGTGAATGGATTGGTAATGGGTAATGGTTGGGTGGATTGATGGGTGGACTGTGAGTGGATGAGTAGTGAACAGATGGGTAGCAAATGGATGGATGAAGGGTTGGTAGCGGGTAGATAGGTAGTAGATGCATAGATAGTGAACGGATAAGTAATGAGTGGATTATGGATACATGGATGGACAGTGGGTCAATGAGCAGTGAATAAACGGGTAATGAATGCACGAATGGACAGTGAATGAGGGCCTGAGAGACTGGATGGGATGGGCAAAAGGATGAGGACTTCGAATGGCGGGGCCTACTACCTGCAGAAACAGCACGGAGTCACTGATGCTGTGCAGCTGCTCTCGGATCTGCTTGTCCTCGTGCAGCACCTTCGCCCTCTCATCCAGAGCATCCACGATCACTTTCACCTGGTCCACGGCATCCTGCTCCCGCTGCTCCAGCGCAGCTCTCACTTCCTCCTTTTGCTTCTCCAGGTCCCTCACCAGGTCCCTGAAGTTCTGCTCCAGGATAGCCTTCTCATTGGTGGTGAAGCTCTAGGTCCAGAGTCAGGCAGGGTTGAAGAAGAGTTGCGTTAATGAAAAGCCCCCAGTTTTCTAACAGACTTGGAGAACTCCCAGGGCCCTAACTTGATAAGCCTACTCATCCACAAGTCTCTTATTCGAAGGCATCACTTAGGGATGTCACTTCCTGATAAGCATGCCATCGTGCACTTCTTGGTTTAGGTGGATTGCTTTGTTATTGTTTGAGATAGGATCTCACGTAAATGAGGCTAGCCTCAAATTTCTTGTGTAGTCAAGGTTAGCCTTGAATTTCTGATCCTTCTTCCTCTACCCACTGAGGGCTGGATTACAGGTGTGTACCACCTCTGTCTGCAGGTGTTTCTTATAGCCCACTCTTCCTTATCTACTATGGCTCTTTCCCCTGGGTGCAAAAGTAGTGAGCCACTACTCCAACCCTCTACATGCTCAGACAATCGCCCACAAGTCAGGGTATGTTTTCAGGAGCCCCAACCAGAACAAACATTATTTGGAAAGTAAATCAGTTGGCTGTTTCTGAGGCTATGCTTCCCAGTCAGTTACTTTAGACTAGTTTGCAATTATCCAAGCCACGACAGAGTACCATGCTGGCCCATGTAGGAAAGAAATTGCATGTGTTTAGTAGCTGGGTAGTCTGGTGGGCAGGGTAAACATTAGAGGATATTGGCAGACACATTGCAGAATGGGTCTAGGGTCTGTTTGCTAGTTCAGGTGACAAGCAAAATTCCACCTAAATGCCTGACCTAGGCTGGGAAGGAAAGTGGGTGGGAATGTCAAAGAGGATGAGAGGAAGTGTGAGTATCACGGTGGGCCAAAGCCTGGAGCAGCTGCCTTCTCCCAGGCAACATAGGCAAGTGAGCACAGCAGGAGAGTACGGGCACAGCTGGGGAGCCTCAGGCTGCTCACCTTGATCCTATCCTTCTCCTTTTGCCACTTCTCCACCTCATCTTCTATCTCAATGATCTTCAGCTGCAGCTGCTCCTTTTGCAGTGACAGCTCGGTCTGTAGGGAGAGTGTGGAGATTGACGTTGTCAGGAACAGGATAAGAGGGGAACAGTACCAGAGATCCAGGCCAGGGACTCACCACAGAGCAAACTCAGGCAGATTCAACATTCATCCATACAGTCTTTCATTCAGCAAATGTTACCAGTGCCTCAGATCTGCTGGACACTGTGCTAGTGGTCAAGAATCCAACAACGGCTGGGCATGGTGGCATATATCTGTAATCCTAGCACTTGGGGAGGCAGAGGCAGGCGGTTCTCTGTGAGTTCAAGGCCACAGCAAAGCAAGTTCAGGCTAACAGAGAAACCCTGTCTCTGAAAGAGAAGAAGAAGAAGAACAAGAAGAAAGAGGAGGAGGAGAAGGAGGAGGAAGAGAAGGAGGAGGAAAAGAAGCTAGCAATGCATCAAAAACCTTATTTCTGTACTCTTGGACTACTGGGTCTGGACAGCTTAGCTGTGTCCTTATAGGAGCTAAGCCTTCTACGTCCTTCTCACCTAACATGAAAGGTGAGAGACTTGGGCTCCTTTCAGGGGGCTGAAGAGAGGATCTGGACTTGACCCAGTTTGGCAGAGCCCTGCCCAGGGAGTGTCCTGTAGCAGTAACCCCATGCAGCGTTTCTGTGGCATGACACAGGCCTTGTGTTGCAAGCCAGAGCTGAGGTTGCCGCCGGCACAGACTCCGTTTAGGCAGGCAGAGCTGTAAACCTGTTTATAAGGAAGGGAGCGTATCTGCAGTGTAGGCAAGACGGGAACTCTTCCCCAGGTTCCCTGAAGAAACAGACTACAGGGTGAGGCTAGGCAGGGGTGGAGATGTCCTGAGACCCCTGTTCAGAGGCTCACAGACTGTCAGACCCTCTGATAGGCTGGGAAGGCTCTCTATCAGGAGGGCACTGAAACATCAGTGTTGCCTCCGTCCTTGGCTTCCATGCGGGGAAAGACTCTTCTCTGAAAAGCAGCTGTAACTGATGCAGATTGGAAGCTAAAGCCAAGGCTATGCAGTGAGTTGAGGATACCTCTGTTTTCCTCCTGGGTCTCACTGGGGCTGCCAAATCCCTGTCCATCTTGGAGTATAAAGGGGTGATCATTTGGAGAAGTCTTACATAACTCAGAGCCTCCCAGAACCACTGGAGTTTGAAAGAAACTCTCACTCCTTTCTCTAGCCATCTCCCTGAGGAACCTATAAGACTACATTGGCTAAAGTGAAGAAATCACAAACCATAAGGACAATGACGATGCAAGGAGTCATGAGCAGCTGGGCCTGAAGCACCAACAGCTGCTTTTGAACAAAAATGAGGAATGCCTCCGCCGTGCCTGCGACAGAAGCTAAGGGCATGTCCTGGAGTGCTTGCCGCAAACCCCCAGATCAGGGCATCTAATGGTAGAAAGGCTCCCATTGGCCTTTTAGAAATGGTGTCCAGAGGTGGGGAAGGCAGGGACACAGGAGCCACAGAGACCCCCAGATAGGAAGTCCCACTCTCATGATCAGCCCACCACCCTCACACTCCCAGGCTTGCCAGGCAAAAAAAAAAAAAAAAAACAACTCTCAGATGTTCTCAGTAAGTTTCTGCCCCACCCCCAAAGTCTGAAATCCCTGCAGCATGGAAAATGCCATCACCAGAGAGGAAGGCGGGCTTTCAGGAAGAGATGAGGGTGGGAACTTGGCTGAGTCTCTGGAACAAAGCTTCAGAGAAGACACAGTAGTGGGAAGGAAGAGAATGAAGAGACTAAGCCTCCACCCTCCAACTCTGCTCTTTGAGGGTGAAGAGTCAAAGCCTGGCAAAGACCCCAATGTGGGCCAAGTGTGAACAGCAGATCTGTACCCTGAGGAACAGAAAAAGTGAGATAAGGGGTCTGTCCCAGCAACTTTCCCATCCCTAAAGAATTCCTGGGGGAAGAGGGTGGGGGATCAGGGTTGAATTATAGCCTGCGGTCTCTCATCTTTTGCAGCTGAGCCTTTTAAATTCGCTCAGCCAGAGCTCATGGATAAGAATCTAAGGTTGAGACCCTTGAGACAGGTTGTGGGGGTCTTACTAAGTTCCTTCACCTCCCTAAGTCTTCGGGAAGCATCATCTGTGCTGTGGAGGAAGCCTGAGCACCCACTGCAGAAGGTGTCAGGGAGATGGGAACCAGTAAGCGGAGCACAGAAAACACCTGGCCCACAGTCAGCACTGGCTGAATAAGGTCCCTGTTGCCACGCCTACATGGCACCTCCCAGGTGGGACAAGGCAGTGAGACATGGCAGGTGGCAGGTGTGCTCAGGTGAGTCTGCACAGCGTTGCATGGTGATGCTGGGACATGGGTCTGATGGAGTCCAGATGTGGTATGGACGCAGTCAGGAGCCTGAGGACAGGATGAGGGGTGGACAGTGGCTGAGACAGCCGACTTAAGATGTAAAGTATTGTGAATACTTGAAAGTGGAGGACACTGGGGGGAGCAGGGTGGGGGCAGAAAAAAAAGCTAAGGACCAGGCAAAGCTCTACAAGTGGGAGAAGGCAAAAGCCAGGGTCAAGAGATAGGGGTGATCAGTAGAGGCTCTTCCGAGGAGAATGAACTGCCTAGCCGAGAAGAAGGAAGGAGGTACTGAGTCCAAAGAATTGAGTCCAATTTGGCTTAAGCCATGAAGCACCTAAGCTACGGATAAAGAAAGGTTTTGATGTGCCCCTGGGAGTCTATTCTATGAAAGGCAAGGAGGGGAGGGAGGTGAGCAGGGGCCATCTGAGGTCTGGAGAGGAGAGTGGAGGTGTTGCCCAGCCACCTAAGTTGGGAGGAGGAGATGGCCAGCCTGGACACGCGCAACGACAGGATCAGAAGTGGAGACAAGCTGTCTCATCAGTGGGCGGCAGAATGGGTCGGGGCAGAGGAGAGACCAGCCGTCCTCTTCTCTAGGGCTCTGCTCTGAGGATGTCGGAAACAGGCTGGGAGGGGCCTGGTACGGACAACACAGTCAGCAAGACCAAACCTACAAGATACAGTAGATCCCTGGGGCTGAGAGTAATGCCACAATAATGATCCCTTCTCCCACCTCGAAGGAGTCCTGCCCCATTGAAGACAGGTGTTAGGGTCAGATCTCTAGGGATGAGCCTCAAATCTTTTAGCGCTTGACAGGTTTGGGGGGAGTTGTTTTTGTTTTTCTACGCAGAAGATGTCCAAAGATACCATGACTACAGGAGGAGGAAAGGCACTGGGCCACTGAGCATCTCCTACAAGACAAAGACCCTGTGGAGGTCAGTGGTGTCAGCCACGTGTTGCTGATGCAGTCACCTAGGCCTAGAGAGATTATGTAGCTGGCCCGAGTGTGCACAGTGAGAAAGAGATGTAAAGCCAAGATGCAACCACAGGGCCCATTTCTTATTCTGTGGCCTATGGAGGCACCTCTCAGGCAGAAGTCTAGACACTCCTAGGACATAGACCTCCACCCGTATTCCCTCCTCCTTGAAGCTGGTGAAACCTCAGCCATCTTCTCCTCCTACAGCCACCCCCACCCCACCCCCACCGTCCCACCACAGCTCAACATACACACAAGGGCACCAGCTTCCTCTCTTCTACTCTCCCTCCCCCAAGCCCTCAGAGAATGTAGTGGCAGCCCCAGATGTCTGACAGGCCTCAGCATCCCAAACTCCACCCCTCCCCATTCCTCCCTCCTGGCTTCCTCCCACTCCTCCCTTCTTCCCCTTCACCCTGCCCAGGCCTGTCCCTAAATGCTTCCTTTGTTCCCTTCTCCCACACTGTCTGGGGCCTCTCCTCTCTGACGGCTAGGACGGCCCTTGCGTGGGCTGCCCAGCATTGAAATTCCCCTCTGTTCTTCATCCCTGGCCTCTTGAGTGAGCAGAGGTCCCCTGAGAGTAAAGGGATGGCACATCCTATGATGATTCAGCCTAGATGGGCCCATCAAGTGTACACAGTCAAACGCTAGACAGGTGAACAGGCAAGGCCACCGGGAAAGAGGAGCCTGCTGGCCAAGATCTTCCGTCAGCCTGGATTAACTGCATGGGCCCTGGGCTGTGACACTTACCAAATGAGCCAGTTAATTGCCAAATTTGTACTCCCAGACACATGGTAATTACCTGGATAAGAATCTGAAATGCTGAATAGATTTCATATTTCTATGCTTACATGTTAAACGGCCCCTATATCTGTCCATTGGCTCCATTGAGGTCCCCCATTCACTCCCTCTGCATCCTCAGGTCAGGGGAAGGTGCCTGCTAGGGTGAGAGGCTTCATCTTGGCATCTGCAGACCACTAAGGAACATTGCTGACGTCACCACCCCTCTTCTTAGTTTCATTTTCCTTCCCCTGCCCAGCTATACATTAGAATCTGTGTGAGCCAGGACCTCTTGGAGCAAGGCCTGGGACTCTGAATTCTAACAAGTCACTGAGTGACTCTCGCCTGCAGCCTGGTGTTTTTGAGGCCCTTGGATTTGATGATCTCAAAAAGACTCGATCCTGGTGTTAAAAGAGGTTTGAGCTGGTAGAGAGAAACCCAGCCCCTCTGTTCTTCATCCCTGGCCTCTGTGTGAGTCTGCGTCTCAGAACCTGATGTGGCACCCCACCCTACAAGACTGCTTCATTTGAAACCATGCAAATGCTGACCCAATCCTGGCCCACACATGAGCTCTGTAGAGACTGGGTCACCACCTGCCTGCCTTGTTCTCACTTTCCTCCGTTTCCTGTCTTTAAATCTCTCGTTCGGTTGATTCCCCTCAGCATCCATCCGACCAGGTCCCTGTCTCATACCTAGACCAGATGTTCTCCCTGAAAATGCCCAGAGAGATTCTAGGTACCCTGGCTTTTAGTCTGACTCCTCTTCCTGAATCCCAGACCCCACCATCTGCCCAAGGAGCTTTCCTCCCCAAATCGGCACAGCAAGAAACCCAAGGACCAGCAGCTGCATTAGCCTAGTAACCTAGTGGCTCAGCCTTGCTCAGAGAACTGGGCAAGAAGATGAGAAATCAAGCCACAGGGCAAAATACGAGAATAGGGCCAAATGATGATGTCTAGAATGTGGACAAAAGCCACTGGATAGGAGCCTCTTCAGGGAGGCACTTCCTCCAGTTTGAATGTCATCAGCACATGGCTTCCTATGCCAGTGATGTTATCAACCCAGAGCCCAGGTCAAATGCACCTTAAGACAGGGCCAATTAGAGCAGGAAGCTGTAGTTGGAGGGTCCTGGGATGGATAGGGAGGCCAGCGGATGAACAGGCTACTCATGTCCCTCTTCGTCTCGCCTCCTAACATAGCCTGAGAAAGCTCAGAAAGATAAGTTAGATCAGTGAGCATCCATGGGACCACTTGGGACATCGAAAGTAAAGAGAGGGAAACACAGAGGTCCACGAGAGGGAGGGGCCATCATCTGGCATGCCCTGCTCCCAGGAGAGCCTGTGCTCCAAGTCTGTACAGAACGAAGGCCCAGGAGATGAGTGCCTGTGGCCATGGGTGTCATCTCCAGCCTTGTGCAACTCCCCCAGACACTGCCTAGTGACCTCACCCGGCCTCACCAGCAGGCCCGCAGAGCTGGTTCTGCCTGCTTCCTTGCAGAAAGCCGTGCTGGAGCTGCTGTTTGAGTCTGTTTCAGATGACTTCAGAATTGGCACTGGGCCTCACAGCAGTCCATCCACCCACCTCCCCTGTTCTGGGTCAAGGGCCCCCAAGTCCAACATCCCATAATAGATGGCCCTAGACAAACTGCAGTCTTCTGTCTATCCTAGTGTTGTAAAAGCATAGACAGGTGAGTTTAACATACACACACACATACACGCACACACAGATTACCCCAAGTTCCCACCATAGCTGTCACTCCAGTATCCCGTTCCCTTCCAAAGTGACCCCAAATATTGCAAGAAGACCTAGACACATCTTTCTCCAGCTAGAATATATAGCCAGGTTCCATCCTTTCTTTGGGTGTGTCCCAACATCTGCAGACTGAAGAGGTGACCGTGAGACTGAATTCTCCATCAGGCCTGCTCTCCTCCCTCTGCTGTTCCGTGTTTGTGCTTCTGCATACCAAGGAGGGTGTCCCATCTTGTTGTCCATCTGAGCCTCTGCTTCCTTACCTACAGCACAAGCCCTCGAGGTCAAGGCCTCCCTAAGCCCTACAGCAGCCCCTGACTGAGAATAGCAAACTTGGTGTCTCCAGGCCAGGCTGCCCACACCTTCCTGCCCTCCAGAACCAGCTCTTCTGCAGAAACTCACAACAGAGCCAAAGGGTGCCTAGAAAAGAGGCCAGTGTATACAACTAGCTCTCAGTGGAGGGTGGACCTGAAACCTTTGCTTCCTGTGGCCGCTCTGTCCCCTTCTCACCATGGAGTCCTCAGAAGTTTTTCTGAAAATGCTGTGGCTTCACAGAGAAATGGGAAAACACTCTAGAGCAGCGGTTCTCAACCTTCCTAATGCTGCAACCCTTTAACACAATTCTTTACGTTGTGGTGCCTTGCCCCCAAGCATAAAATTCTTTTCCTTGCTACTGCATAACTGTACTTTTGCTATTGTTAAGAATTGTAGTATAAATATTTTTGGAGATAGAAATTTGCCAACAGGATTGCATCCCAAAGGTTGAGAACCTCTTGCCTAACCCATCCCTCAGTTTCACAGGGACAGAACTTACAGCTTATGACTGGTAACCTCCTAACACTAGGCCTGAGACTCAGCCCTTCATTCTGTTCTGAATTCCCAAGTACAGTTTCTGAGAATGGGCTTCATGCTCTCTCTCTCTCTCTCTCTCTCTCTCTCTCTCTCTAGAATGGGCTTCATGCTCTCTCTCTCTCTCTCTCTGTGTGTGTGTGTGTCTCCCATCGTGAAGCTAAAAGTCAGTCTGGGGTCAGGGGATACTGGAGTTAAGGGACACTGGGGCCAGGGGATACTGGGCCCAGGGAACAGGAAAAACTAAAGACACCTTTGGGAGTCAAATGAAGCTTCTAGAGAGGATGACTGAGTCTGTTCCCACCTGTGACCCAGCACCTGCTGCCGAAGGGTAGGGGCAAGAGGCACACAGGGAGAGTGACCAGCGAGCATACAATCAGGGAGATGGGTAGGGAGAGATCCCCTGCTACTTGGGGTATGAAAGCTGACAAGAAAGTGGAGCCCTGCACTGGCCACCAGGAAGGCTTGGCCCTGGGGAGGACACATGCAGCTGGGTGAGGGAAAAGACCAGTGGCCCTAGCTTGGGCCTAACCCAGAATACCTTCCCCAGGTGCAACACACCCACAAGTCTCTGCTTGCCTCTGCTCCTCCCGGTGGAAGTGCCACCTAATCACTCACAGGAAGCTCACACAAACACACTGACGTAGCCTATACACAAATACGGGTAGACACCCACATTCGCAGACACCCGCCTGCGGATAAAACACACGTTAACACCCACCCACACAGGCTCTCGCTCCAATGCTGTCCACCCACAGGCACAGACCTGTCGGCTGCAGCCACACAAACAAAGCACACAGGGCCCAACTGCGAGCAGAGTAAGGGATAGGGGTGTGTGAGAAAGGAGTGGCTTGGGGACCAGATAGAGCAGAGTAAGGAGTTCCAGAGGGGGAGTGAAGAGAGTGACTGCCAGGTTACAGACAGACCAGCCAAGAAGAGCCCAGGAGAGAGTTCCGAACCCTTCAGTCTTACACCACCTCCTGACTCAGAGTCATCTCAAGAGCTCAGCCCAGCCTCTAATCTTTCTGGAGCTTCTATTTGCTCACTTATGGCATGCCCCTCTCCCAAGATATTTGGAGGCTAGAGAGTGACCTCTGACCCCTCAGGCCGGAGGTACAGAGGAAGAAGACAAGTTTTCGAAAGGATCAGAGCACAGTGGAAACTTAGGTCCCCAGTGAGGGTCAAGGTGGGAGGGGTAAGGGCGGGCAGCGAGGGGCCCAGCGGGTCACCTCTTTCTCGGCCTTGGCCTCCTCCACTGTCACGGTACTGTGGTTCTTGTGCTCCTGGAACATGCAGAGGTAGCAGATGCAGGTCTGGTCTGTCTGACAGAAGAGCTCCATAGTCTTGCCATGCAAAGGGCACTTTCGGGCCTCGAAGTCCCGGATGGGCTCGAGTAGCTGGTGGTCACGGAAGGCGGCGCCCTCCAGATGGGGCTTCAGATGCAGCTCGCAGAAGGATGCCTGGCACACCAGGCAGGACTTGACGGCCTTCTGCTTGTTGCCGATACAGGAGTCGCACAGCACCTCCTCGGAGCCCGACTTCGCCCGGAGCAGGAGGCTGGAGTCAGCCCTGGGATAGCTGTTCCTGCGGGCCTCCCCCGGCTCCACGATGGTCACCGTGGGTTTGCGGGGCTCGGAGAAGATGGACTTTCGCAGCTCCCCCTTCTCAGCAAAAGTCACAGGGGGTTTCTTGGAAGCCCCCAGCTGGAGCCCAGCATAAGGGGACCTCCTGCCTTCCGCAGAGTCCATGCTGAAGTAGTTGGGGCCTTTGTCGTCTACCGACTCCACGAACTGGATGATAGGCCTGCGCCACTCATTGCTGGAAAATAGGGCACTCTTCCCCTCCCCTGTCTTCAGGGCACTGCCCAGGGTCTTGCCCTCCGTCACTTCCCCACTGTGCCCGTTGGTTGTCTTGGTGTCCTTACTGTCTGCTTTAGCGCCATTCTCCAGGTTGCCGTTGGGACCCGGTGGGCTCCGGGCGTCCCTGGCTTCCGGGCTGGCCCCATTGCTTCTGGAGGCGTCGGCACCTTCCATGGCAGGTCACTTGCTAGCCTGTTTCTGCTGGTTGGGGGTCTCTTGGCAGCCGACTTCAGCGGATGTCTCAGGCAGGGAGTGGGGCTGGCAGGCAGTGCCCAGGGACACACCTGTGGAGGAGAAGGTGGGGCAGGAGGAGGAGCCATAGGCGGAGCTACCTGACACAACGGGCCCAGAGAGACAGGCGGGGCCCAGTGGCTAATTACCTGGGCCACGCCTGCACATTCATCCCTAGCTGGGGATTTTAAAGAAGTGGTTTTCTTTTTTTTTTTTTTTTTTTCTCCCCGTTTTATTACTTCCCACCATTGACAACCCAGTTTGGCTGCTTTCATCTGATGCACTTCTAGCAAGAAGGCGGAGCCTCTGTCCTCATAGGTGGACAGGCTTTGAGGAGGTCGGTGCCCCTCGGGGGCAGAAGGTGAGGTGTTCACGGAGGTCCATGGGACAGAAGGTTCTTAATTGGGTCACACAAACCAAATCGCCTTGTAATTTGTGGGCTGGATATCAAAGGTGAAGGCGAGTCTCTACCACCCTGAGACAGCACATTCTAAAGGAAGCCGTGGCCTGGGTCTTATCTGAACGACTGATCCTAACCAATTTGCTGCTGATGTCTTAGGTACTTTACATATAAGCCTCCCTCCAATCCTCAATCTGGCTCTGTGTTTGTGTGATTGGGTGTGCTTCTGTGCATGCGTCTGTCTGTCTGACCAACATCTTCCTCAATTGTTCATCACTTTATTTTTTGAGACAGGAGCTCTCCCTGAACCTGGAGCTGCCTGGGATCTGCCTGTCTCTCCTTCCTGGCAGTGGGACTCAGACACACTTCTGGTTTTTCCATGGTGCTGGGGATTTGAACCCGGTTCCCGTGCTTGCCCAGTGAACACTTCACTCACTGAGCCATCTCCCCAGCCCCCAACGGTGCCTTCTGACAGAGAAAAAACTTAGGTACTAAGAGGATGCTGGCTTCAGCCCATTTCAGGGTTGGGAATGGAATCTGGGGCTTTTGAGATTGTGAGGTTCCTTCACCTAAATATCTCACTTGAACGTATTAAACACGATCTGAAACATAAACTAGAACATAAAAACATGCTGAAGTTTTCTTGTGCCCATAGTCCTAAGAAAGGGCACGGGTAAGCCTTAGGTACCTCAAATACAGATTAAAACCTGCTTAGGGCCCGTGGGCTAGAAACATGGCAATGAAAGGAATCTGAGCAAAAGCAGCCTGTAGAGGGTCCCTAGAGCCCAGACATTTGACTCTCCCCTTTTTCTACAGTAGGTTTGTGGTGTGACTCAGAAAAACCTGCACACCTTCACTGAGCCAGGCCGTATGGAATAACCTCCAAAATGGCACAGTACAGTGTGGAACTCAGATAACTCTAGAGACATGAGAACCGCCAGATCTCTTCCTGCCAAGCAGCAGAACCTTCTGTTCTTACAGGACATGCCCTATGGACATGCCCTGGAAACAGCTGCCCCAGAGTACAGGAATGTCCCCATTACCCTTGGAGATGGATGGATGGATGGGGTAGAATGTGGGCATGGCTGGGATAGAAGGTTCTAAGGTATGTGCAGAGAAAGGGTCTCCTTTCCTTCCCCTCAGATGCAGGTTAAACCCTGGGAACCCCACCCCTTGACTCAGGACGCTGGCAGCTAAGCCTTTGTGTTCACAGCCCTGGGAACAGAACAGACACAGCTGGCTCACAAAGTAGCTAGAGGTAAGAAGGGGTGTGTGTGTTGGAGGTGGGCGTGCCGGCTTGTTCCTGTCCTGGGGCATCACGGGAACCCCACTCATTCGAACTCATTGATGGCTTACCGAAGAACTCAAGGAGATTTCTGGGTTGGGGAACCCAGCTACCGTCAAAAAGACAGACCCGAGGCTGTGTAATTGTTCAGGGTGGCAATCCTAGCCACTTGGGAGGTAGAGGCAGGAAGATTGCCCCAAGTTTGAGTCTAGCCTGGTCTACATAGGAAGTTCCAGGCCAAAAATAAATAAATAAATCCAAACAGAGCAAATCGAAAATGAAAAGGAGAAAGACAAAATGGAGAGGCAAAGAGGAAGTGAAGGGGGGAGGAGGGAGGGGAGAGGAGGGAAAGCCAGTGTCACCACACTGCACTCTTGCCTGAAGCCTAGGAGAAACAGAGCGGGAAAAGAAAAGGTTGTCCTGGGCCTTTGGTATAGACATGCCCTTCCTCACCCTGAGAGTCTCCTCATCCTGAGGGACCAGATGATGAGGATGAAAGAGGAAGAAGAGCAAGAGAAGATGGAAGGGAAGCCGCTGGGCTCCCTGCAATCCAACAGCTCTGGTCCTTAGAGTTCATACACCTGCCTCCCAGAAATCCAGGAAGAACCATGAACCTTAGGAATTAGCTGATCCACAGATGCCCAGACCAAAAACCAAAAACAAATCTGTGGGTAGTTGTCTGGACAATAGAAATCAGAAGATGAATATGAGTAGAAATGGGTGGATAGGGGGGTGGATGGGTAGATGGACAGATTGCTAAACAGATGAATAACTGATAAAAATAATTAGAAAAGGAGGTAAGCAGAAGGTAAGAGAGAGGAAGGAAGACTAGGGGGAGGACATAGAAAGGAAAGAGAGATCTAGACAGTTTGTAGGTGATGAATGGCTTGCAAAGGTTTGCTAATGGAGGCTTGGCACCTGACCCTGCAAGGCCCTGGTCTGTGTAACTTGCTGCTTCCTCCCACCCTGCTGTCACCATCTTGAGCTGTCAATCTGCAGCTAATACCTCAAAGTGCTGACAGTACCTGGTGCTCTCTGAGTCAGTATGAGCCTCCCCCAACACATCCCACACAGGCCTGGGGATGGTGGATGGATGATGGAGGTACACGGATGGACTGGAGGAAGGTGAGTGGATGGCAGGTCCTGGAGTAAGCCACTCTCAGCTGTCCTAAGGGCTGGCAAGCAGGTGCAAGGGCTTCCAGGCACATGGCATGAAGAGATGCCATTCTCTCTTCCAAAAGGCTTTCCCTCTTATCTGAGGCGTCGGGGTTTGTGGCTTGGTCCTAGCACCTGCCTGTCCCACAGGCGACATCTAGCTCGGACCTGCTGTCTGTGTGGGTTAGAGTTGGTTCGTCCCCACCTATATCTGAGCACTACTGTGTACCTGGCATTGAGCAGGGACCCATCACACAGACAGGAGTGAGTTCTTGATCCACACTGAGGAGCTTGCAGATGTCACAGGAGAGGGAATAATCCATTCGAATTTTGGGTGAATGGCTCATAAGAGAACAAGTACAAGGGGGCTTGGGATGCCCAGAGGAGGGAGAGCCCAGGCCATCCTGAGAGTGACCCCTTGCCTAATCAGGTTGAGCAGGTTTCAGGTCCCGCTCAGAGCACCCTCCCTGCCCACCAGGCAATCTTCAATTTCCGTAGCCGATGTCTGCAGAGCTGACCAAGGAGGTGAGGCTAAAACTGAGGTTATAGCTCTAGGGAGGGTGCTTGCCTAGCATGCGTGAAACCCTCGGTTCAGTCCTCAGCATAAACTGTGCAAGATGGTACATGCCTGTAACCCCAGCACTTGGGGGGGGAGGGGGAGAGAAGGGAGAACCGGAAGTTCAAGATTTTTGTCAGCTGCTTGGGGAGTTCAAGGCTAGCCTGGGCTAGGCCAAGCTCCAGCACTGAGGTGCTGGAGGGGTTCATAGAAAGGTGACTACTCCATCCCTCTCCAAGGCTTCCCACTTTGGTTCTGTGTTTGTGCCCACCCAAGGGCAACCTAAGAAAATTCATTTCCTGATGGACCTCTGAACCTGTGTGTCACATGCAAACTGCAAATGGCTCCCAGAGGACCAAAGCCGAAGGACCTTTATATTAAAACAAACAAAAAACAAACAAACAAACAAAAGCCTTTTGAGAAAAGAAAGGAAACAGAGGTGGGCCTCCTCAGTTGTTCATTGCCCACCTTCTCCTGTCCTCCCTCTGGTCTAGCTTAAAGCCTATCGTGTAGTTGCAATGCTGGGCCCTCCCTCATCCCTAGCAAGGGTTGTGAAGCGGAGATACCGCTTCCAGAGAAGAGTCCTTACAGAGCGGGGGAGATTTCCACGCCTTGCCTTGGCTCAGGATAAATGCCAAGCTGCCCAGCCTGCCAGCCCCCACTGGGCTGCCTACTCCCACGCCCACCTGCAGCTGACCCTGGACTCCTCCCAGAGTCCTTTCAAGAGGAAGCTTGAAGCGGTCCCCCTCCAGTAAGCCTTGATTCAGCGGGGTGGAGCAGCCTCCTCCGCCCACTTTTGGTGGCCTGACTGCACCTGACTCTGACACTAACCCTCCTGTCACGGGCAGAGGAAACCCCTTAAAAGGAAAGAGCACCTCCACCTTCCTGGGAACCCAGGCTGGGAAGGGAGTGGCTACAGGGCCCATCCTTCTGCCTCCAGACAAGACTCTACCTCGAAAGTCTTTCATGTCCCTGTCTCTACCCTTAAAAATATGGGAGGAAAACCCCACCACGCAGCCCATGCTAAAGGACTATTTTTGCCGCAGGGAAGTCTTCTTTGAATCTCGCTTCAATACACTACAAGCGACAGTTTTCCATGCAGGGGAACCCGAGTTTTGATCCTACTGAAAAATGAGCTAAGTAGCCATCAGGGCTGTGAGAGAAGGGTCTGGACCAGTCTGAACACATTCGTGGGTTGATTTGGGGGCCGCGGTTTCCCTTTGTTCTGTTTCGTTTTCATTCGTGTTTTAGTCACAAGGCGGTCTCATTCTGTAGCCCAGGCTGTCCAGGAACTCCTAAGTCCTCCCACTTCAGCATCCCGGGTGCTGGAATCACAGGTGTGCAGCACCAGGTCCAGAGATCTTCTGACTTTAAATTAAAAAACAAAAACAAAACAACAACAACAAAAAACAATACTCTAGGTGGTGCGGTCCAGCTCTTCTTATGAACGGAAAGGCTGGAAGGGTTAAAGACAGGAGCTTCCAGAAGAAGACGTGGTCCCAGAGCTCTTGCCTTACCACCCTGCTTCCCCATGGCCTCCAGGTTTC